GGGCTCTTCTTGGGAAGGGGGACGATGGTTGTGGTCTTAAAGCAGGTGGGAACAATGCTCTGGCTGAGGGAGAGGTTGAAGATGGAGGTGACAACATCAGCCAGTTTGCTGGCACATGCTCTCAGAGCCAGCCCAGGGATGTTGTCTGGTCCTGCTGCCTTGCGGGGGTCAAGCTTCCTCAGGGCTTTGCATACCTGGCCTGATGAGACAGTTAATGGAGGAGAGGGGGGTCAGGTGGTCTCGGTGTGTGTGTGCCTCCTCTCTGTGCTATGGCTGGAGGTCTCAAAGTGGGTGTAGAAGGTGTTGAGGTCATCCGGCAGGCTGTCTGTGGAGCTGATGATGCTGGTGGTGGTCCTGTAGTCTGTGATGTGCTGCAGGCCTTGCCACATCCGTCCGGAGTCAGCAGTAGAATAGAAGCCTTTCAGCTTCTCTCTGTACTGCCTCTTGGCCGCTGTGATGGCTTTCCTCAGTCTGTACTTCACAGCTTTGTACTCCGTCTCATCGCCTGATCTGAATGCATGAGAGTGAGCACGCAGCATGTGGCGTACCTGACTGTTTATCCAGGGCTTCTGGTTTTGTGTTGAAACGTCTGGCACTGAAGATAATATAAGTGACCTGCAAGTCATTTATTCTCATCATGTTCTTTTTTAAGATCAGTAGCCACGTGCATGAAGGGAATGTTGCTTATGGCTTTGTTTTTTTAACAGTAAATGTGATATGACTCCCGAAACATCTTTTTATGTCCTGAGTCTTTATTCCCCACAGAGCAGCAAAACTTCTATTCACACACAACAGATGGTAAATAACTGGCACCGAGCATCAACAGCTGAATTTCAAATGTGCATTTTGAGATGCAGTTGGTGTGATTTAGTCACAGAATGCTGGTAGTGAAGGCTGAAGTCTTTGTGAGGTAATTCATGTTAAAAACAGTGTTGGCGTTCACAGAGTATACTGCCATATCGCCATAGGTCTTTATGCTGGGAAAGGGTTAGAGAGCCACTGGTTCACATCATTCTCAGCAGAATGACCAGATATAAACACAGCAGCATACCTCAGATGAACACATGAACTGAAACATGTGTAGTTTAATAGCTTTTCCTCTTTAATAATTTATTTAGAGATGTATTTTTTTTATAAAACTGAACACAGTTTCCTCATGGACAGAGAACTTATTGCTCTTGATTGTAAAAGTTAATGAACCCAACTTATGTGGTATTAATGTTTGTTTTTGCTTTACAGGTCGAAGAAGCATTGAGCACTTTGACTGCACTCTCTTCACACATACTGCATTGAAACCACTTGTCTAAGCCTGACATGGACTGTAGCTCTCACAGTAAACGGACAGGAGACCATCCAAATGCACGCACACACACACACACACACACACTGCTGTGCTGGCAACAGTGGTTAGCTGCAAACAAGAGCCTATTTGCCTCGTTCCTGATGAAGAGATGAAGCTGACAAATGAAGCAGAACAGCAGCAGACTTCAGTGTGGTGGATGGACTGGCACATTCATCTTCTCTACTTATTTCTTTTCCTGTTGTAGCCAATATGAACTTGAACGTAATACATGCTCAGTCTGCTCAGAGGATTGGCAGACATATAAAACTAAATTTACTTAGATTTATGTCAGATAACTGGAAGTGACTGTTATTTATTTGGTAGCCGTCTTCGAAACAGCAACCTCTGTGACTGTTCTGATTGATCCTAATATAGCTATGGGCAAACAACTCCTGTTCTTACCCTTACAAGCTCCGCACACTCTGACCTCACCATAATGCCTCTATCCTAACCTCTAATCTTCACTGGAAGTGTTTTCTACACATCTCACACTGCAGACAGAGTTCCATCATATCAAATCCACACTGAATCCATGAGATGCGTCCCCCTTAGGACCCTCAGGGTTTTTTACGCTTCAAGTCTATTTTTTCCTCCTGCTGCATTTAGTGAAGCGTCACCTCCACAAGTCCTGTTTTCCGTTTCTGTTGGTACCTGTTATGACTGATCAGGCTGTTTGAATTTCACTTTCACTCTCTCCCTCTGTAACAGGAAAATCAATACAATCTAAATCCATAGGCTACATCAAAACGTGATTTCTTTCAGATTAGCTTACCTGAAAGTACACTTGTCTTGTTGGTCTGTCTGGTAAAGACTCTTTGTCCTGCCGCTGTCCTGCTGACAGACAGACATCTATTCTGATGACTTTAAATACCCAGAACGCTGCTCACGTCCTCAGTGTGGATTCAACGAAATCACACCTCAGTAGCACTTATGTCTCGTTTCCAGTGTGTTTTACCACAGTCAAGCTAGACCAAGGACCAGCCTCAGAGGTTTTCTGGTAGACCGGTCTTGATTTAGCTCTTAGACTAGTCTGGTGCAGCTTTCACCACATTAAAGAGTGACTTAGTTCTGGGTTAGCCTGGGGACAGGGTGGCTAACTTCTTATGCTTAAAATAAGTCACTAATTGAACTAAGACCCATGTTTCCATAGTAACGATTGGTGACATCTAGTGACTACTGAAACCAAATACAGGGGAACATTTATGGAACAGTGAGTAATGAAAGTGAAAGAGTTTTTAGAGAGCACAGTAACCTGCTGGAAATATACATCTGTGAGGGTACTGTCAGCCGTTTTGTTTGTCCCAGGAGGCCGTCCTGAGCCTGTAGGATGGTCGTCCTGTTAACAAGCTGCAGCAGCTCAGCTCTATCACATGTCTGCATTCCACTAAGATGTTATGCTCCTGGAAGGTTTTTCTGTTGTTATGCTCCTCGCTAAATTTTCATAGTAAAATACCCTCATAGATTTTCTGCTGGAGTGAACACTGACCAGTTGCACAGTTGCTTGGTCAGCCATATGCTTTAGTTTGAAACACGTCTTCATTCAGACACGGTCTGTCAGAACCCTTAGCCTGTGAAAGACTGTGTCTGGCCAATATGAAAATTCATATTCCAAAGCTTAGCATTATGATAAATCTCCCTTACATCTAGTTGTTTCTATGCATTTAGATGATTTCGTGTATCCACTTTTGAGATAGTTGTCTGAGATATCTCTGCCTCTGCTCCAGTACAATATAGGTGAATGGAATTTACATTATGCTGCTGACAGCATTCAAAGTCAACACTAAGAAATTTAGACAACATCTTTCCTGAAACAGTGTTGTGGTTATAGTTCTCACAGGACACTGTCAAAGATTTTATGAGATCATTTCTTTAAAAGAAAGTAGTTTCAGTAAAAGCTGTTGACAGCTTGTTCTACAACAACAGGGATGCTGTTTTGTGTACCTTTTTAGTGTACCTTTTTTTTAGTACTTTTAACACCTTGGGCAGCAGAAACAAAAAACTTCTGGTTTTAACACCTTGGGCAGCAGAAACAAAGAAACCTGTCTGTATGGATCAATACCACTAGAGGGAAGAGGGCCAGTGCTGTATGTTTACAATTTATGTGAGCTAACCCTTTATGGAAATGCTGCTACTGAAGCCACTGTTCACATTTCTGTGCATTATGTCTTTCCACATGACCTGACAGTCTCAAATTATTGCTTCTCCGTCTACTATCCATACTGTATGAACTTGCTCAAATGTCACATCTTTACCCCCTCAAACAACAGCTCTCTGTCGACAAATGAGTTTGTCAAAGCAGTGCAGGACCAACTGTAGGTTCAGTGTGAAGGGGGGTCATACCAAGACCACTACAGCTCTCCTCTGTTGTGTGGAAATTGCTATTTCACTTGCACTTTATCTTACTGAACCAAAGAGATTGTGGGATCACATAATTTAAACTGGACTACTTATTTATAGTGATTTAAGTTATTTCTATCAGTTTTGGGGTGGTTTCTAGTGTTTTGCTTTGTTTTCTGATTTTGTTTATGAAATGAGAAGGCTGCATTTTTATATGAAACTTATGTAAAGTCTGTCAAATTGGATAAATCACTTGTCAAACCTCATGTAGTTGTATTTTGCAGTGCAGTGTTAAGTATGGTTATTGTTTAAAATACTTGCTCACAGTGACTTCATTTTATCTCACTGAAAAATAAAATATCACTTCCATTCTTTAAACTCATAAACATAAAAAATTCACTCATTGAAAATAGTGAAACTAGAGCAAAATGCCCTGATTAATTTTTTCTCGCAGATTTGTTTAATATTTATAATTTATTGGTTGGTGTTCACTGTATTTCAATAAAATCTACAGAAGTCAGACATTTGTTAATGTTATATAATGATTTATTTTGAATTTGGGAATCATTTACATTTATGGTGGTAGCTTGAAGACAACATTATGCCTTCTTTAGAACAAGACCGGGCATTGTGTGTATTTACTGTACAATATGATAGTGGCAGGTCTAGTACTTGAAACATTGTGTGCCTTGTTTATTTTTGTTATACTGTGGGTTTTATAAAAATAAAAAAGGGTGAAAAACATATTTGAATGTTTCCTTGCTCCTCAGTGAATGATCTTGGTTTGGGGTTGTTTCATTCCCAAAGTCTTCTAGGAAAGAATAAACCACTCATTTTTTATACTTAAAGTAACAATGTGTTCATTTTTTACATGAACATAACAGTTACAAAATCATTTTGATGGTAGACTGTGCTGACTTTACATCACAAACGTGGATCCAAGTATGAATGAGCTGGCAATTGTGAGAGTGTGTGTATATCTTATGTGTTGAATGAACTGAGTGCTTGGATTTTTGAGGAGACACAGTGGCCAGATGGGATTTGTAGTGATGAACCCAAGCGGTCAAGGCAGAAGGCCACCCACCAAGAGAGGTTTCTTCCATTACCATTAAAGGGGGTTTTTCCTCCCCACTGTTGCCAAGTGCTGCTCAAGGATGATTTATTGGATTTTCCTTTAATAGTGTAAGCTCTAGTCCTGATGATGCATTGATCCTGAATGCTGGACAGCACTGGGCCCTGACATGATCCACACCTGGCAGGACAAGTGAACCAGCTAGCAATGGAAGAAACCCACCCTGAATGGTTAACTGAAGGCCAGACAGTCCTGATCCTGAAGGACCCTCAGACAGGAACAGTTCCATCCAACTGCCTATATGGAACTATATGATAGGTCAGTTCAATACCTGGCACCATGAAGATGTGTTTTTGTTTTTATTTCAGTATTTAAGAAAAATGAAATTGAGAGGGAGAATTTAAGTTATTCTATTAAGTATTAGTAAAAATGCTTAAGTGTCTTCACTGTTGTTAGGTTATTTCTTAGTTAGATAGATATGGATTAGAGATCTGTTGTCTATGAATGTTTAGTGCAGACAGGGTGACTAGCTTGGGCTGTTAACTATTCAGCCTGCAGTCCAGACTGCAGGCACGTCAAGGTTACAGGAAAACTGCTGTTAGTGTCAACTGTAATGCTAGTCTTAATATTTGTCTTAATGTGTAAGGTTATGTCCAATTGTTTAGATACACACCACGAAAACAACAGTCACGCACCTTGACTTTGCCTCATGTTTTGGCTAAACGTTATAGCAGGTGCAAGGCTTGCTTAGCGGCTGACGTCACGGTTCGACAGCCCAGAAAGGATTAATATTGTATAGGTAAATATTAGATCTAGGAGAGTATTCAGATTCCTGATCTAGGCTAATTATCCTGTTGGTGGGGGTAATGCACCATTTCTTTGTTTGCCAACTGCTATTAAATCCAGACGAAGAAGAAGAAGAGGATGAGGAAATAGTGTTCAGGGCAGGCTCGGTTGTACAAATTGACAGGCTAAGTTTTTCTTTACAATTTCGCTTCGTTGCTTAATAACGTTACCAAAGCAGAGACAAAAAAATACATATCGTAAATATGCTTTGGTTTGATGGTTCAATTCCAGATGCCATTAATTTGGCTAAACAGCGCAATTTTGTCTTTGTCGTTGTTATTACAGGTAACGCTCTGTGTTTGTTCACTTATCACCTAGCTAACGCTAACGCTAACCTGCGTATGTAACAAGTGCTGTTATTTAGCTAGTAGCCGTCCAGCTGTCAGTCTCTAGGCTAAGTGTCGTTAGTCGTTGCACCAAAAGCAAGATGACAGAAATGTAGTAACTTTAAATGTGATGTACATTGATAACTTGGTTAGTATTGTTCATTACTGGTCTATCGTAGCTTATAATGAGAAGAAACGTAAAGTCTTTATAATAGCGCTTGGTGTACCCAGAGTAATGTAGCTAACCTTACAGAGAGTACATGCTAACCTAAGGCCTTTTAAATTACTTTACAAATCGGGTGTTGATGTGATATTAGTCTGGGTTTTGGAGGCTACTGGATGAGATAACGATATCTACTCTGCCCCGATGGGTTCAGTCGGTTTACACTTCAGATGGTTTAATCTCGTCCTGGCCAGGGAACTTGAAACGCCATCAGTTTGAGCTGGGTCAGTATTATGTCAAAGGAAGCAGCATTAGCAGAGGCGCTGGTATCTCTTATGCCATTATGAGGTGGGTGGTTTCATGTATGGACGGTGAGCTGTTATTAAGTGACTCATCACTGTTACTGGCATGCTCATAGGAGAAGATGAACACTCAGCGCAGCTGATGTCCAGCTGGGAAGACGACAGAGTCTCAGAGGCAGCACACAACTGCTGTGTGGCCATCAAAGTTGATGCCAAGAGGTACTGACATTCACTTACACGCACAGTGTATGGTACTGAGGTCTAGTAACAAGAGTACAAGCTGTTTGGATAAGTGAGCACTCACCACTGTCTCCATAATACACAGTGCCCCTTGGCCAGATATTACTGCAGCACTGACTTTCTTTTCTTCTAATGCCAGAAAAACGTTACAGTAGGATCTCTTTATTTGTAGCATTTTATCCTGTAACAACTAAGTGAAAAGGAAACTCTTCATAGTACTGGTACTTTAGCTGATCAAGTGTATTATGGTTTTACAGCAACGTATCATGGTGGAGCTCTAGCACGTCACCTGAAATATTGCTTCTACTCTCATCAAAACAATATAATAGACTACCTTTATGATGTGTAATATAAAGAGTAGAGTAGGTACTTTATTGATCCCACAGTGGGGAAATTTCTGTGTTACAGCCGCAATAGAGAACAACCAACATAACACCATAAGAACAGACACATAAGAACAGAACTTCATAGAAACACGGAAAGGAACACGACGAGGACACAGCTGCTGTAACTTGCTGCCAGAACCTATGGAACTAGCGCAGAGGTGCTTCATCATGCACCAAAGAACATACATTTATTGTTGCAAGGTCATTTAGACCATCATGTTGTAAGTGATCACATGACAAGGCATGTCTGATTTGTCTCAGCAGGTGCAGTGTGAGCCACCCCATCTACCCAGTTTCTTGGGGTAACTGGGTGTCCAAATAGTTTTGCAATGGACTTTGAGCCTCATTCACAAACAGTGTGTATGCACAGATCTGTGCTTGAACTGTGTGTTTACATACAAATCTGGGATTTATCAATATTTTCTTACCTAAATTTGTTTGCCTCAGACCATGCTTACACACGACTTGACTATCTTAGAAAACGTTAACATGCACATTTTAACTAGATGCATGTTATATTAAAACAGTATTAATTAAAATAACTTTGATAGTTAATATAATTAGATTATATACTTGAAATAATTTTACATAATATAAGGCTTTAGCCGTTAAAGGAAAAGGCTGGACTTTTTTTTCCATAGAGAGATTAAAACCGACAATGAATGACCTCAACTCACGGTTATTGGCTATCAGCGTGTCAGTCCTGGATTAGCTTCTTCGTCTGTGCTGTAGATCTCTGTTGTTTTGTCAAAAAGGATAAAAACACATCTTTGAACCATGCTGCTGCACTGGTGACATGTTTCTTCGTTAGCAAAGACCTTCACAACTTCAGGATAATTACTGGCCGCTTGGAGACTTTGGGGCAACATAAGTGGGTCTGGTGTTACATTATGGAAAATGGTTCTGATTGACTAACGTATGCACAGCGGTAAGAACAAAATTAGCTGGTGTGCATGTTTCATGAATCTGAGTGTAATTCTGTGTGGGCACTTACTTTGTGCTGAAGGTAAGAACATTTCTATTTGCACATTAGTGAATGAGGCCCATTGGCATTGTGTATTCAGTCCGTGTGCACAATTCATGGTGTCTGGCTATTCCATTTTAAATTCAAAGAATTAAGAATACATTAACTTAAAATGAATTAGAGGGACTTAAATTTGAAATCTTTAACATTTTATCAAATTTATGTGGTCTTGTTTTGGGTTTTGTTAATGTTAGGAACTTTTTTGTTGTCTGTGCAGTGAAAAATTCTTTGGCTTCACACATAAAACAGTGAAAATGATACAGGACAAAGAGTGTCCGGTAGTTCTCTAGTGGCGCAAGTTTTCTGTTTTTCTCTCAGGCTCAGGTGCAACAGGTAATAGAAACAGAGGAATGTACGTCACATCAATCCTATTTCTTTTTAAAGTGTGTGTATATATTTGCTGTGTTTTACCATGCATTGGATATACTGTACATGTACGTGCATTTCAGGTAAAGCCAATATTTCCCTGTACTGTTTGAGTTTGGGACCGTAGTTTCCCTTTTCCAAAGTGTTTCTGTAGTCTCTTCTGTGCACTTTTTGTACACCAAGCGCTTCCAGTGTGTGAGTGAGTGCCTGCTAGATGCTATGCACCTCACACACTACGCTTTTGGTCTCTGCCACTGTGTGCGCGACCTGAACCACTGTGCATGTAAATTTGAAATCAGAATTGGATATCCGGGCAGCTGGTCACCAGTCTTGGCCAACCAAGATAAAAACTGGCCAACTCTGATCTCCAGCCGATTGATGACTGCATCTTTAGTTTAATGTAATACACTTAAAGAATAAATGTCTTGATGTCAATGGAGTTTCACCATATGATGCTGCATCGTTTCATCCACAGTGAAATATGTGTGCAGTTCTCCCAGATCTGTATCTTTTTTGCTGTTCTCAATGTTGACCATTACTTTTTGGATTGAACTAGTCTTGGGCTTCTACAGAAAATCAGAATCATATTTACTGGCCAAGTATGTTTAAACACACAAAGACTTTATCTCCAGTACAGAGATTCTCAATGTGATAGTAAGCCACTACGTACTACCAAGTTGCTGGGAGTTTGTTCCTTAACCCTTCCTCCTGTGTGAAGATCCAGTGGTGTGCATACCCTCCAGCTTCTTTATTGGGGAGAATGGAATTCCTCTTGAGGTCATTGCTGGCAGTGTGTCTGCTGAAGAACTGATGAAAAGAATCAGCAGAGTAAACCAGGTACAGGCACAAAGATTGGAATGTATACCCTTTAGAGGGAGCTTACTGCTTATTTTCCACACTTTCTACATTTTTAACTAGCTTCCTCATATCCAAAATCACATGCATGTTCTTAGCTAGCATCTTAATAGATTGTCAGGTGTTCACTCGGTTGGTCCACTGCATTTGTCACAATTGAAATGTCTCAAGAACTAATGGATGGTTTACTTGTATTTTGAAATTTACAACACATTCATGTTCCCTCAGCATTAATTATATTCATTTTAATGATCCTCTGACTTTTCATCTG